CCCAGAATCCTTCCCCGTCAGAATTTCCCGAGGACCCACGAAGAGTGATTTTCAGGCACTAGAAGGGTAAAGATGAATGAAACAGTCTCTTGTGTCAAGACACTTACATCGCATGGCTAGATAGACACTGAACAAGCAAAATGTCCCTTGGTGAAGGCCGCACAGGCGTTTCCACATGGAAATCAGACACCAGGGGGAAATGACACTGAACGTGGGCATTGAAGGTGTTGGCTGGGAGGAAGGGTCGTGGAGATGAGAACTGTGAGCAGAAAAAAAAAAGGGCAAAAATGAGGAAGGAGAAAAGTAGAATTTTTCTCAGGGGGTTTCACTGAGGCACTCACCTGAGGGAGAAGAGAAGTTATAAGCTAAGGGGAGAAGCCCGTGAAAGACCCGAGAGCCATGTAAAGGGGTCTGGGGTTAATTCAGGAGGCAATGGGGAGAACTGTGGGCACTCAAAGCCAGAGGGGGTGCATTTCTTCCCTCATTCATTCATTCATTCATTCAACAAACAGTTGGGGACCATCCCTTCTCCTGGAACCATAGTGGGAGTTAGAGATGGAAAGATGAACACAAGAGAATCACTCTCTTCCCTCCTGATGCTTGTAGCCTGTCCCGACGACAGGGCGTTGTATGGAGAAGAAAACCAAAGGGCTGTGCTACGAAGAAGGGGGAAGTACAGGAGTTGGGGGCGTGTAGCAGAGGAAACCAACAGAGTTAAGGGTGAAGGGCAATCATGTTAAAGCTGAGACAGGAGAAGCCAAGTGAGCCGGGTAAAGAGGGGGAGGGGGAGGACGAAAGGGCGGCCCCGTCCCAGGGAGAAGGAGCAGCCTGTGAGGAGACCTGAGGCCACAGGGGGCAGTGCGCCAGGGTGTGCAAGTCCCAGGTGGCTGGACAGTGAGTGTGAGCAGGACGTTAGGAGGTGGAGCCAACAAGACGCAGACTGCTGCTGTGATTCAGCACGTAGATCTGGCTACGCTCCAGGGGGTGGAGGAGATGCTGCTGCCTCAGTGCAGACCACACGGGAGGAACGAGGAGCCGGAGGCCCAGGTTAGCTGCCACCGGATGTGGCACCCATGCGATGGAGGGAATGAGGACGAAAGAGAATGAGGACTCAGCCTGGGGGCCGAGGAGCTGCGAATGTTAACTGAGATGGCAGAGGAAGAGAGGTGGGCTTGAGAAAAGACAAAGCAGGAAGTAGGGCTTAGGAACTTGGGTGTTAGGTACCAGCCGAATATCCCCTGATTAGCATCCTTAATCAAGCCGTCACTTGGCTGGCCTTTGACATACAGTTCTGGGAATGGGGAGCTCGTCCCTTTCCCAGGTGGTGGACTCCAATACCTAGACAATTGAGTGTTTGGAACAGGTGTTCTTCTTTACACTGAGAAAATGCCTGCTTCCCCATCGTTTTATCCATTGATCCTGGATCCACACTCAGGAGCAAATCACAAGAAGTCATTCCCTCTTCTCATGAATTGGAGAAGATTGGTCATTTCTAACGCACATTAAATGCTTAGAATCATAACCTTGTAGAATGTGAGTGCCTCGAGAGGTGTGCTTCACTTTTACAATGTCCATTTCACACAGCAGGAGATGAAGCTCTAGAAAGAGGAAGGGCTGTGCCCCATGTCCCCCAGCTACTCTAGCTGATCCTAAGGCCTGAGACACGTGACCCTTTCCAGCGCTTACTCAACATACTGTGCAGCGTGTAACTGAACTCCAAAATCTTATGCTCAGAGCGTCCGCATCTCAGGGTGAGTTCTCAGCTCTGCTCTCAGGAGATCCATTGAAATTAAACAGGGTTGAAAAATAAGTAAACCCACATTAACTATGAATAGCATTTCCATGAAAGCAGACGGCAAATCTGCGCCTTATTTATGGCTCCACCTGCCTTGAAACAGAAAACTCAAGGGTGTCAATAAACGGATTGCCAAGGTGTGTTTACCGAGAGAAGGATGCCTCTGCAGGACCCTTTGGAAGCGCGCAGATGTCTGCGGCAACGGGCAGGAGCTCCACGGTAGCCTTTTCCAGAGTCTCAGGATCTCTGGGGCCAGGAGGTTAGCAAGTCATCCTGTCCAATTGTCCCCGATGCTCAACTCTCCCCACCCCTCCGCCCACCGTACTGCCTTGAGGTTGCATGCGTCTCAAGGTCTGTATTTCGCTTCCTCCCAGGGCAGCTGAGTCTAGCACTGGACAGAATGATCCTCATTATGATAAGCCAGACCCCATTATGATAGGATGGCCTCAACACAGATTCAGGGGCCATCAGAGTGAGCCTGATCTCTCTGTCAGGTGACAGCCCTTTGACTATTTGCTGAAGCTGATCATATACACCTGGAGCCTCAGCTCTTCCCAAGTAAACAGCCCCAATTCTTTCCACTATTTCTCACGTAACAAACTCTGAATGGGCCCTGTCATTCACCTAGATTCTCCTCGGTGTGCAGAATTATCTAGACTGTTCTAAAAGTACAGCCTCCAGAAATAAATGCAGTGGCCCTGCTGCGGACTGTTACCCATAAAAAGAAATCTGTCACCTTTGTCATTCTAGCTAGAATAGTTCTGCTAATGTACCCAGTCACCAGCCCCTATTTAAAGCAGTTTCTGATTTGGTCCCAAGGGCAGGACTCATTGGTAAGCTTCATGATTATAGGTATTGTACCTACACCCAGTCTGTGCCTGTTGCTTCAGAGTATTTTCTCAATCTTCCCAGTTTCCTATGATCTATCTGCCAGTCTAATAATATCCTTCAAAGTCAAGGATCACAGTCACTCCGTCAGCCAGGGTCATCAAGACAACATGAAGCTGGAAAAGACCCTTCAAGGTGACATCAACACATCACTGAGCACAGCCAGTTATGAATTCTCCATAATCTGGATCAACTTCTAGTCTGTCCTCGGAGAGATCACACCACTAACCTTTGGGGGCCGCCCCCCCCAATGTCGCTCCACATGTTTCAGGGAACTCCTCTCCACCCTGTAAGCAGGCACAGGCACGGGGCTCGGGGCTGTCCTCCGCAATCACAGTGACGGGTCTCCGGACAGGTAGCCAGAGGCAATCCTGGAGAACGCAGCAGGAGGAAGAACCCCTCTTTCTACAGGGATTGGGAGGATAAATTGTAAACTAAAGCTTCTTCTGTGTAGGAAAAGTTACACTGAAAGCAACTAGAAGAGACAAGTGGAGCAAAAGAATGAAGAGAGACTGAGCTACAGAAATATCATTTGAGCCCCTGGATCCAACCCTACCTGACACCTGTGCTACCTTCAAACTTACAAGGTTTGTTAGCCCCCATGTTCCCCATTTGCTCAAATCTTTTAGACTTGAGTTTCTATCAATGAGTACAAACCAATATTCTGCAACTTTCCTCAAGCTACCCCGAAAGGTCACGTGACACCCTGTGAAAACCCTTGCTGTAGCCTGCTACCACATTGAAGCCCCGATCTATAGCATGGTTTTGTAGTTTAAAAGTCCAGCTCTGGAGTCCAGTCATCCAAGCCCCACCTTGACTGGCTTTGGGCAGATCGCTGAAGCCTGTCCGCCTCGCCTTCTCATCTGTACCTACTACATAGGATTATTGTAGAGAAAGACTCAACACATGCAAAGTCCTCACAACAATGTCTGGCAGGTAGAAATGCGCAAAATGCTAATAGTTTATATTGTTGTCATCATCACCACTTCTGTTATTATTGTACTACTATTATCAATCTAGATACACTGTGAAAGTCAACGTTTTGATGAAACCTAGTCTGGCAGCGGGTGTTCTTAGCCTTGTTTATAAGGACTCCTCCCTCACCCGTAGGAAAGTGTTTCTTATAGCTCTTCTAAGATTATCACTGACTCACCTTCCTCCCTCTGATCCCTTTGCCAAACATTAACCATTCATACTGCCAAGGCATAATTTACTCTATCCAGCTGCCTAGATGAAAGCTCCACTGCCTGCAGGGATGTAGGGACAGGAAAGTGACAGGGGTGTGTCGCCGGGCCCCTCCCTGCGAGGCTGGCACACAGCTCCACCCTGTTTATATTCAGCCCAGCTAACTCTGGGCAAATCTCAGAAAGTGAAGTGGAACTCCTAATTAAAAAGTAGCCTTGAGCTGTCAATAAAATTATGCATGAAGAAAATGTTTAAAAACACAGAAGCGACTTCCTTGAGCCAGATTTTATTTTGAGTTAATTTTTCTCTTAACTCAAGTGTGGAGTAAAGAAGAAGAAGGTGTGCTCCACAGCACCGCCGCACCTCCCTCCCTGAAGCTCAGAAAAATCACCTCTGATACGCCACACGCAGCACCGCACCAGAAACTGCTGGCCGGAAGAGTGGTTCGCAAGTCTTGTCTTTCCTACTGATTCTGGAAGGCAGCGGGGATTAGCCTTGGCTTTTGTCTGTTTGGGGAGGGTCACTCCTCTGCGGCATTCCTGGGCCCAGCCCGTCAGCAGGACTGACCACCCGCACACCCAGCTCGGCCAGCAGCTCCGACAGCCTCCTCCCACCGCGCGTTGCGGTCACTGTGCAGTCGCCTGTCTGTGTCCTCCACTGCACTGTGAAGGTCCAGATGCCTTATTACCGTACGTCCAGCACCTGGTTTAGCAGAGATGTCAAACCCCAGCAGGAGCAACAGTAACAAAATGTTGACTATGTGAACAAACGAAGGAATAGGCGGGAGAAAAGAACGAAGCATCTGGCTCCGTGAACAGCCAAGGGATCCCTGGAGGGCCCAACCTTTTCCACTTGCAAAGCTGGTATTTGACATTTGTGTAACCTCCACCACGCCACTGTGCCCAGGTGCGCCTTATTTTGCTGCTGTGTTTACCTTTTTCTCTTCACATCACTGACTCCCTCCAACTACCTGGGTAAACCTGGGCACGTCTGTCCCTGTGACCGGGCACCGGCATTCCGTTCCACACGACAACAAGCTGGAATTCGATGACTCCCAGCTGGTGTTCTCTTCCTTCCCGCCCCCGTCCCACCCCACCCCCCCTTTTCTTTGGGGAAAAAGCGTCCTTCTTACCTTCAAAGCTCCCGGCAAACAGGTAAAGCCAGGTGATGGCTGGGATGCAGAGAAGAGTCAGCGAGGCAGCCAGGAATTTCCGTCTCCCTCTGCAGATTGCCAGCATCCTCTCAGAGGGGGCGATCCCTACGCCCAGCGCCGTGTCTCTGCCCGGAGCGTGGAGTCCTCGGCCTCCCTCATAATACTCTCTGCAAGGGAAGAGCAGAGCGGAAGAGCTGAGTTCCTAGCATGGTACATGGATGCGGACTGCAGACACAAACAGCCTGGACATCCTGAGAGCAGTCTGACTTGTCTAGTTTCCTGCTAACCTTTTATCCCAAGGGATAATGCTCCAGGCTTGCGATCTGTCAACACTGAGACAGTTAAAAAATAAACAAACAAAAGATAATAAAAACTGTAAGGGATCTCTCTCTCATGTGCGTGTACCCCCCCCCCCCGGACACACACGTACTTTATACCATAGATTACTTTTGAAGCCTGAACTAACACACTCGTTAAAGGAGAACTTGGTTAGCAGCTGGTATAAACCAAGCATTAACCAGGTGCTCTATTTCAAAAAAGTAGAATGAGGGTTGGCTTCAAAGAGCACAGTCTAACAAGAGACCAACAGAAAACATCCACAGAACTCCTAGAGTGTGCCGACTGAGATTTGCAGGAACCTCTACGGAAGGACGACGAAGTTGCTGACCGACCCACGTGCGCTCAGGATGGCAGAACAGTCCCGTGGCCCTGGCGGAGAGAACTGTGGAAGGCACGCGGGGCAGACGCACGGCACGGTCAGAGGAAGGGAGATCGGGGAGGCCACGTCATCACCTGCAGGAGACTCCGCCTCCATCATCGCGGAAAACCTACACACACTCAGCAGCGACTGCCTTAATAGCGTTCAACTTAAATATGGAAGAAGATGCTCAGAAAGGCACGGAAAACAACGGAAATGCGCAGAGAATGGGGAAGAACACAGAGAAAACCTATAACCGGTCTGCAGAGGGACAATCCTTAGACCACGCTGAAGACTGGCTGAAATATGATAAAAAGAGGGAGGAGAAAGTAGTACAGATGGAGCAGAGGGCCCACAGTCTTTCACCTGAAACTCATGTGACTTTGAAACGAATTAAAATACCAACAGACCATGAAACCCCAGCTCTACCACCTCCTATAATACAGGGTCTGGCACAAATAACGCCCCCCCCCTTTTTTTTTTTTACTACAAAATCTTTTTTTACAAAATCATAAGCATGTCATTCTGTAAGGTAACAATATCACACTCCAGGACACCATGTGACATTTTAGGTGAAATGTTCAAATTAAAATTATAAATTACACCCATATTATTACCCTACCAACCACACTCAAGCAGGCCTTACTTCCACCAGACCCTGTAGATGTTACACGGGCTGTAGGTAGAGAGGGAAGTACACATGGGGCGTCCCGACAGAGCAGAACCTACCACTGCACACAGCTCTAAAATGAGGCTTCAGATTTGCAAAGAACAGGTGTCCCCTTAGATAGTTCCACCATGGGCCCTTCCCTCTGCCATTGCCCTTAAATGCCACAAGACGATGGTCTGGTTGAACCACCTCCCTTCCCCCCCAACCTTGGTGTTTCCAGCAGACAGAGGGCTTGTCGGATTCACCTGACATTCCCTAAGATTTAGCATACTGCCTGTCACCAGCAGGTGCCTGATAATTGTCTGCTGAACGAATAAACGGAATCAGATTCTAACCCGAGGAGACCCTTCGGAGCTTCAGGAGTTTGTGTTCAGCACATTTCCGGCAATAAACACCTAATGGAGACCATTGCAACTGTCAAAGGCCAGCCTTTCTTCTGCACCCACGCTGACACTTTTCTAAATGGCTCTCTTCTGAAGCAGATGAAAGCTCTGGAGGGTGAGCACCAGAAAGTAAAGCCCAGAAAAGCAAAGTCTACTTAAACAAAGAACATTGGCTTGAGAAAAGTCCCCCCTTGGAGGAGAATGAGAAACAAAGCCCACACACTCTGCTAGTCACTAAGAACGAGAACCAAGGAACCGGACGTGGTCTCTTAGGAAGAGGGTGTGTTGGGGGAGAAGGCTATGCAGTTAGATCTGGATTCGAATCCGATGCCACACTTGACTAGCCATGACCTTGGTAAGCCCCCTGTCTCTGCATGAGCTTTGTTTTATTCATCTATGCAGTGAAGCGACACCCTCTCTCTGTGAGGGTGGTGAGGTGGTCACCCTTGAGTGACTAGCAAAGACCCATTACGCAAAGGACAGGGTGAGCCCCCTCTTCCTGGGAACCCAAGAGCAGCCTTACTGCGGTTTTTCTCTCTCCCCTGCTCCCTCTCCGCGCATAGGGTTAGAAAACAGATCCCAACAACTAGTACTCACTGACATACCAAGGGGTTGTTTTAAACCTGAACGACCTACCCACTCAGTTCTCCTTCAGAAATTACCACCACATTAAAATCTCCCCCACCATTTTTAAATAGTTCACTTATAATAATAAAGACAACTAGCAGTAAGTAGCACTTATTGTGTATCAAGCACTTTTCTACGGTTTTTTACTTGTTTAATTTTCAGAGTAACCTATTTTGCATCCCCATTTTATGGATGAGAAAACTAAGGCCTACAAAGATGAATTAACTGGACAAAGGTCCCACACACCTATGGCAGGGACACCTCGGGCTCTGCTCTCCCCATGGGAGGGACTCGGACAACCTTCAGGGTTTTCTTCTGATCTAACCTCAGTCCTTCATAATGAATCCTATGAGCATTTTCTTTCCCAGGGTCAAATATATCACCAGTGTTGGCTCCCATTCCAAAGCAGGGAAAAGTACAATACACAGAAATATAACCTGAAAGCTACAGATGAATTTATGCTTGAAATTGGGGGAAAATAGGAATGTATATATGAAACTGAACTCCAGGGGCATTAAGAAGATTCAAATAACACTTTAAAAAACTCTTATGCCCTGGCCAGTGGGACTCCGTTGGTTGGAGCTTTCTCCCATAACAGAAAGGTTGAAGGTTCGATTCCAGCGTGGGGCACACGCCTGGCTTGCCGGTTTGATTCCCATCCCAGTGCAGGCGTGTGCGACCCCCAGTCCAGCCACGTATGATCCCTGGGCAGGGCGCCCATCCCCAGTCCAGACATACATGGGAGGCAGCCAGTTGATGTTTCTCTCTCACATCGATGTTTCTCTCTTTCCCTTTCTGTCTCTCTAAAAGCAATGGAAAAAAAAAATGCCCCCAGTTGAGGATTTTTTTAAAAAATTAAAAAAAAAAAACACTTAAAACGCATTATCCTCCTTTTCCTATTTCTATCTGCATAAGTTCATTTCAATTCGCACAATTTATATAAAGTTTTAAAACAGAGTCAAGGTTGGCTTGCATTTTATGATAACACTGGCACCTGAAATTAAACTCAGCAGGTAAAAAAATATTCCTTCATGGATTTGACTTTTAAATGACACCTCTGTGCAATAAAAACACATTTTAAAGAAAAACCTCCATTTATATCAGAAGTTACTCCAGGAAGTCAATACAAGAAATCAACACAAGAAGAAGAAAGGAAGGAAAAAAACTCGGAGGAGGGCGGGAAATTAAATCGCAAACATGTGCAAATGACCTAAGAAAACTCATCTCTAACTGGCCCTCACCTGGTGAGATGGAAACTGAACCACCTGTCTAATAGCCGTCTCTAACTGCCCCTCCCTCAAATCCAACATCCAATTTCTTGACCAAGCTGGTCAATTTCTCCTCCTAAACGTCTACTCCATCTGTCTCCTCCCATATCTTAACCAACAAATTGTCGCATTTATAGAGAACATTGTATGGGCCAGAAAAATGATCATGATCTATTAAGCCACAAAAATAGGATCCAAAGCTAAACAGAAAGTGTGATTGCAAGTTTCCTTCAGTCCAGTGTAATAAATTGCACATACATGTATAAATATCTCAATAACTACAGATATGGAAATGGTATAAGCACTGAAAGTTATCTTTACGTATAAATTAAGTCATTTAAATTATATGAATATATCTTCCCTAAGTTTTATACGAGGAGTATGCAATTGCTTTTATAATATAAAAACATCTAAAAGCTTGAAATCACCATGTCTTCCTGTTACATTGCTTGTGATTCAAAACACCTCAACGCAGACCGTGTAGTATACGTGTGTTAGTTTCACTTTACTTGCTCCGTGCAGTGATTTAACATCAGCAGGATCCTAATTGGGAATATACCCTGCAGGGGCGGCTGGTTACTGTTTGAAAGACTCCAGTCAAGAGCCTACATTGCAAACACTGTGCTCCAGACCTCCCCGATCAACACCAGAGGCTGTCTTTTAATTAGCATCGTGGATGTTAGAAATGATTTTTCACGAGTGTTCAAGGTGTGTGAATTGTCTAAAAACATTGCACATGAAGGAGGAATAAAACTCTAAGTAACATGAAAAAAAAAAAAAAAGAAAAAGAAGAAGTCTATGGAACCCAAAGGCCAAAAGCCTTCAGAATCACTTAGGATCCCAAACTGGTCTTATGGGCATAACAGATTTGGGCCATGGCTTTTAACTAGAAGATTGGCTGAATTCTGTCAGTCACACATTGTTACCCCAGTCCCTAGTGACCCTTTCTTGCAAGGTGTTGTCCCAGTTCCTAAGAGTGCAAAGAACTATACTGAGCTTATAAAACACATCCCATGGCAGACAGACCCTCCACAGAGGTTAGCTTTGCTACTATCATTATTTGCATTATTTGCATCGTATATATCGCCAGCTCATGCTGGCACCCAAACTGTCCTCTCACACCCACCCTGGCTATCCTGCAATGTCCTTTCTCCTCCACCGGGAATTTCAAATCCTATGGTTTCTGCAGAACTTCTCTGGCAAGACCAGACCTGGGGCCTCCTTGCTTTCCTGCCTAAACGCCCACAGGCGTCTGCAACACATTCCAGATCACTTAGTTATCTTCTAATTATGTCCTGTGCATTAATCTCTCTTTATTACACTAAAACTCCTGCAGGGCAGAGGACTGGGTTTGTTTTCAACTTCTCCAGGAGACCGGCATCTAAGACAAAGGTTTATACTTAACTATCTCTATCCAGTGTGTGGTCCCTTATCAAGCAGCAGCAGCAGCAGCAGCAGCAGCAGCTAAAATCCCGTCAGAAAGGCAGAATCTCACTCCACACCCAGCCCCACTCAATCAGAA